TTATTAACATTCTTTGGAAGATTAATGCTAACTTGTGCACTGCTAGCAACTTCGTATATCAGTCTGTCATCAGTATCTCTAAAATCACAGGCTCCTTGTCACTGTGCATTCTTTATGGACTTTGTTATTTTTACAGGCCTTATCTGACTGCTTTATTAAAACACACTCTCACACACCACCAAGTTTGTGCAAGTGTAAAGCTGTGAGCAGAAATATTCCCCTAAACCTTGTTAGTCTCCTCCATAAGCAGCTCAAAGACTTTTTCATAGGCTAATTGCTTTACAGAACAATCTTATCACAGGACGTGTTTATCTCTTGGCGATCTCATCAAAGCATAATCTGCATATAATAATATTATGCTTCTCTTCCTCTCCACAAAAGGAGACACTACCCTTAGGATTATTTCACTTTCGAGTTATCATTATAAACACCGAAATCAAAGATCTCTTCCTCCCTTGCTTCTTCAGTCTGGATATTAGCAAACTCCCATTTTCAGTTGCCATTTCTTGTTTGTTTTTAATGCTTGACGAATTACAGCTGTGAGGCTTTGATCCCTCAATGATTTAATGACGGCAGTGTGTTCATAAACCAAAAGATTATAGGGATTGTGTTCCAGAATTTGCAATGATACGGAAGAGAGGGCTGGGGGACCTCTGGTGCCAGGACCATAATAGGTCACACTCAGGTCACAGTTTGCCCCATGGGGCTGTTTTCCCCAAGCCACTCTCACCTGCCCCACACTGAATATCCTATATGACATCAGGTGTAGGGTAGGTAAAAGCGTGGCTGCAAAAAACAGCAACACATAATTGGGAGCTTTAAACTGCTCTCTCAATCCCTGCCTAAAGGGCTGATCAGTTGATTGGCACTTCAGACTTGGGAGATCTGTAAACCAGCCCATCTCTGCCCAAAGTGGAGCTTGTTGTTGTTGTTGTTGTTGTTGTTGTTGTTGCAATTTATATACTGCCCTCTATCAAAAGATCTCAGGGGGGTGTACAACATTATAAACACATTAGAAAACATCAGTGATAAAAACATAATAAAAACATCAGTAAAAAGCATACTGACAGAAAGCCTAATAGTAAAATAATCATAATGATAACAGTCCTCTCCCCCACACTTTAACAGAGCACAGATTATTTAATAGAGCCAGTGTGGTGTAGTGGTTAAGAGCGATAGACTCGTAATCTGGTGAACCAGGTTCGCGTCTTCGCTCCTCCACATGCAGCTGCCGGGTGACCTTGGGCTGGTCACACTTCTCTGAAGTCTCTCAGCCCCACTCACCTCACAGAGTGTTTGTTGTGGGGGAGGAAGGGAAAGGAGAATGTTAGTCGCTTTGAGACTCCTTAGGGTAGTGATAAAGTGGGATATCAAATCCAAACTCTTCTATCAAATCCAACAGCCATAAGTCTGGGTAAAGATGAATGTTTTTGCCTCGTGTGTAAGGACATGTAATGATGGCGCCATGTGAGCCTCTCTTATGCTGTTGATGGGGAGGGAGGGAGCATACAGTATCCCTCAACTGTCCTGATAATACTGGGACATCCCATTTTTTCGAGAGAGCACAGCACCCGTTTGGGGCACTGCAGTCTCACTCAGTGATCTGCCCTCCCCTCCCCTCCCCCTCAAAAAAATGTTTTGGGTCGGGGCCGTGAGCTCACCTTGCTCTCCAAAAGGTGCATTTTGGGGTGCCATGCTCTCATGAGCACGTCTTTCGGGGATGCGATCACGCACCAGAAAACACCTCTTGACGTGTCAGAGGGTATGAGGCAGCAAGCGGGATAAAAATGGGCTCGGCCTGTTTCTAGGAGGCTGGGCCTGCCTCGCTTATGCTCTCAGAAGCAATCTGACAGGGTGCTCGCCAATGCCGTATTATTCCCATAATAACCTGAAGCAGCAAAACATCAAGGCAAGCAAAACCAGGAGAACCATACTCTGGCTGCAAATGCAACCCAGGAGAACCAATCCAGGTGTTAATTAGGTTGTTTTTATAGCTATCATTTATAGCCCTCTCTATATCCTGCCAGGAGCGAGTTGTTATTTTTTATGCTGTGAGCAAATAGGAGATTTATGTGCACATGCCTTTCATCTGCTTGTTTTTGCTTAGGCTTACTGCGTCTTCCTATCCATCCTCGCCCCGCAAAAAAAAAAGTTGTACTCTTTGGATTTTTTTTTAAGCCCTTTTTGTCATCAAATAGCTTTAGCATGGTAAGAAAGACTACCTATCTAGAGAGTCTAGTCATTCCACTGAGAATATATATATATTTTCCATTGCCAAGCTTAATGACCCATAGCAAAGAGACATTTAAACAGCAGCATTGTGGAGAATTTATCAATGAATGAGGCACCTCGTTTTTTCCCCCTCGTGATATGGACCACTCAAAAAATTGTGCTAATAATTAAATGAATGAATGAATGAATGTGTGTTTTAGCAAATGACCACACAACAAAAAAAGAAAAAGAAAAAAGGATTGCAGTATGTGGAGTGAATCATTTTCCTTAAAGAACAGGGTGAATTGACAATAGGCCTTTATGCACTACAAATCCTCAGATGCAGCTTTATCTCTGCTGTCATCATGGTAGAATGTTATATATAAACTGGATTAAGTTTTATGACTAGGGATGAGTGTTTGGATGAGGTGATGTTGTATCGCTGCCTAATCTTATGAGCTGCTGCATGAACATAGACACTCCCGTTTATTTGTGTGCACCGCAGGTGTGACCTGCAACAAGACGTTGCAGTGCAGAGCGCTCCAGGATTCAGGCCAACTGTGCCCTTTTCCAGAACATTCCATGCCATCTTCCCCCACTCTTTTGTTTTTACACATACACACACAGAGAGACACACACCAAAAATGAACATATTGTCATAGATCTAGGGTGCCAGAGACTGCTAATGAACAGGAGAAATTAATAAACAAAAGTATTTAGATAATATTTGGGATATGAAGGGAAAATACAAGCTGCAGAACTGTGCCAGACAAGAAATTCATGGCTTAGCTTATACACCAGCTTATGTACCAGCTTGGCTAAGTGCAGAGCCATTGAGAAACAGCAGGGAGCCAGGGAAAGGGAAAGGGAAAGGGACCCCTGACCATTAGATCCAGTCGTGACCGACTCTGGGGTTGCGGCGCTCATCTCACTTTATTGGCCGAGGGAGCCGGCGTACAGCTTCCGGGTCATGTGGCCAGCATGACTAAGCCGCTTCTGGTGAACCAGAGCAGCACACAGAAACGCCGTTTACCTTCCTGACAGAGCGGTACCTATTTATCTACTTGCACTTGTACGTGCTTTCAAACTGCTAGGTTGGCAGGAGCAGGGACCGAGCAACGGGAGCTCACCCCGTTGTGGGGATTCGAACCGCCGACCTTCTGATCGGCAAGTCCTAGGCTCTATGGTTTAACCCACAGCGCCACTGGAGCCAGGTACTGACCCTTAGGGGCCATTGACAAAGCAAATAGTTTTCCTCTTCCCCCCCCTCCATCCTTGAACTGAGGAGTAGACAAAGACAGGAAATTTGGGAGGCTGCCAAGGTGGTGCGGTGTGTGTGATGTCACAGAAAAAGGTGCCCTTTTTTTGAAATCTAATGGTGTTCTAGGAACAAGAAGGAGGAAGCAGTCAGAACCATCTTGGTGCTGGCTGGAGGAGGCTGCACCGAGAGACCAGGAGCCAGGACTGACTGCTACTTTGGACCCAAGCTTGCTGAAGCTATGAGAGGGGCAATGAGAGGCACTCTTGGGGTGTAAATTTCTGCACCCCCTCTACCAAAGACAGGGTGTAAATATGTGTAAAAAAACCCTATATTTCTTAAACATACTAGCTGCCAACCGTGCCTCATTTTCCCAACAGAAACATCTCTGGGTGAGCGTCTGGAACCCCCTAGAATCTTTCTACCACTCAGCAGAGATTTACGGTGGTGTGCAACCTTTATCACAATTGCAGACAGTGAGAGCGCTCAGTTCCCAGAGGCTAATTTTGGAGTCTCCTACCCTATTTTCTTTGCTAATGATACTTTTGTATTTCTGCAAACTTTTGCAGCTAACCGATACCTTCTTTTTATGCACTGATCATTCCATCTTGGCCATGTAAGAAACAACGCTCAGAGAATTTCATGATCATGGCATAAAGTACATAAATCTCAAATCCTGGTGTAAAGTGGGATGTCTTGGAGGGATTTAGCTGTGACTCCTGCATTGCAGGGCATTCCTTCTGTGATTCTATGATTTGGGGCTTGTTAGATATAAATGGATCTCTATGAGGCAGCCTGAGCTACTGTAAAGCATTTTGTGATGTCTCAGTTCAAACATTTAAAACAGGCTGCAGTCAAGTACCTGATTAAAGGCAAAGTAATGTCTCCAAGCTTACTATAACACTAGGGGTAATAGATGGGGGGAGGTGCAAACAACAGAGTGTGGAAGACACAGAGAAAACTCTTGAGATTGACAGTAATGAGAGAGGATTATTTCACCTGGAAAGCAAATCTCTTAGCTCTTCCCACCTCAAAATCAGTTTTAAAGATGGCTCGCATGAAAGCTCCTGGACCAATTTGTCGGCAATTTGGCAATAATATGCAGGGTCAATTCTCTCATGTCTACAGTTTTCACACCAGTTGCTCACACAACTTTAGAGAATATAAACTTACTCCTTTTTAACCCACCCTAAAACTTCAATGACTGTCCCTACAAAGAGACTGTTGTAGCCGACCTTTGTTTAAAAAAATGGCAGGATTAAGCCTGTCGAATGGACAATCTTGCCTGCAAATTCTACCCAATTCTGCCACCAATTTTTTTTAAAAAGTCATAGACATCTACTAAAAAATAATGATCAAATATGTCCATCACAAAAGCCCCTGAACCTACTTGCCTGTAATTCGGTTGGTTTTGGAGGAGCTGGTATGTCTGCAAGTTTCACTCACTTTTGTCAAAAGCCAATATATATATATTATAGCCATTTTTAAAATATATTTCCCAATAGTGAAAGGGGGGGTGGAATCAAGCAGATTTGGGGAGCTCAGTTGGTAGAGCATGAGATTCTTAATCTCAAGGTTGTGGGTTCAAGCCCCACATTGGGCAAAAGATTCCTGCATTGCAGGCAATTAGCCTAGATGACCCTCATGGTCCCTTCCAACAATTCTGTGATTCTATATACACAAGTTATCAGCTTTCCAATGTGTGCTAATTCTCAGACCCCAAGCTGAGTCACAAAGCCTTTGAAGCACCTCTGAGCAAGGCAGATTGCTTTTCAAAGTGCTGAATCAGGAGCCAAACAGAATCTTGTAGTTGGTGCATGCCCCTAATATTTATATCCCATATACTAATCAAAAATTACTAAGGCAACTTGCTCTATATTTTAAAACAGAAACAAAAAGCAAAGGGCCTAGTTAGACTGCTCACGCTTGCTGAAATCATTACTACATTGGCAGCCCCATCCTCTTCCATCAATCATGCCTCGTCTGTCTCACACCGAGGTTACTTTGGATATTTTCAGATCTGCTTCTGTATTCTGTACTAGATGTATTTTGTTGCCAATGTCTTGGCAGTGTTATTAACAGTACATGTTAATATCAGTTGTAGTACACTTGCCAGACGCTCATGGGAAGAGTGCCATCATTTGCTATGTATCCTGGATTTTTCAGAAGATGCCCACAACTAACCCACATGCCCAGATCCATGTCAGCAATTGCATGCATGCACAAATGGAGGAAAAGCTGGGTTACCCTGCTAACATAAGCACTCTGGTGCGCAATTGTTTTGTGTGTTGTCAAAATGTCTGTCTCAGCATTTCCTTGCCTTGTTCCACTGTGTTCATGAAAGGACATGAGATCAGCAGCTGTCTGTAAAATTGCATTATTGCATATTGCTTCCTGAGAGCACATGCTGAACATGATATGAACAGGAAAAAATCTCTGTCTATGTCACTGTTGCGTTGCTTGAACATAGACTTGAAGTCTAAAGACGCTAATCTTTTGTGGAGGCGTCAACTGATGTCTTGCGAACTCAGAATAAATCACAAGCTTTCGTACTAGTCAAAACAGCATCTTCCCTCCTAATGAGGTAGATGACGGTGACATAGCTGAAGCCTGATTATTTTAACAGGCTTAAAGGAGTAAGAAAATGGTAGAATTCAAGGTTTCTCATAGCACAAAGGTTTGGGTGATAGAGACTGTGAGGCAATTATTAACATATTGCATAAATCAATATTGGGTTCAATTTGACTCTAATTTAGTGTGCAATTTAGTGTACAATTAGCACACTATGCAGCTTGTTCTACCAGCCATGTAGGCTAATATTTATGGAATTAAGGCTGCTGAGGACTATTGCTGCAGAAGGATGGATCCCATTTTGCAAGTACCTAGTGAGTTTCCATCTAATTTTCCAAGAAACAAACACGTATGTTTTAATGCACGGGAAAGTTGGAGGGAGGGGTCTCTTGTTTGCCTTAGCATTCCCTCTGCTTACTTCCCCAGTAAAAGTCTCCAGAACCTTATATATCTTGGCGAGTTTACATGCATATGAAGCTGATTATGGGGAGCCCTTTGCAGGGGTAAGACGAGGGGAGTTTCAATGGGAGAGTGGCAGGGGGTGGATGGGAAAATTAATGGCAGCTCTTGGACCATCTTATGAACTTGTAAGTAACTTGGGCTTTTCCCCCTTAAGGAATTCTCTAGACTTTTTAATTTTGATCTACACATGCAATTTGAAACAGGACAGAACAGACTTACTATTAGGTAAAGGTAAAGTGACCCCAGACCATTAGGTCCAGTCATGACTGACTCTGGGGTTGCGGCACTCATCTTGCTTTATTGACGGAGGGAGCCGGCGTACAGCTTCCGGGTCATGTGGCCAGCATGACTAAGCCGCTTCTGGTGAACCAGAGCAGGACACAGAAACGCTGTTTACCTTCCCGCCGGAGGTATTTATCTACTTGCACTTTGACATGCTTTTGAACTGCTAGGTTGGCAGGAGCAGGGACTGAGCAACGGTAGCTCACCCCGTCGCAGGGATTCAAACCACCAGCCTTCTGATTGGCAAGTCCTAGGTTCAGTGGTTTAACCCACAGTGCCACCCACGTCCCATGACTTACTATTAGTCATGCGCAAATGGGACTTCCTCCTTCTGAAGGCAGCAAGCTAGTTAGGCACTATAAGGGACCCAAACTGGGTTACATTGCACCATCAACCACCTCATTCCTGAACCCCACCCTCTGCATCCACCACCTGAGGCACCTGTCTCAACCTGCCTAATGTTAGGACTGGCTCTGCATCTACCTAACCCTGAGCTAGGCTATTCTTCTAATTTTCCCCCTCCCTCCAGTGTTATAAGTACAACTGATTAAGATAAAATCCAGCCGTGCTATTGCATCGCTGCTAATGTGATGCATCCGAGTCAGAACTGAAACAAATGGAATCAAGAGTTATCATAATACTATATCAGTATTCAAATGGAAAACATGTTTTGCCTCTTGAATCCATCGGCCTCTACTAATAAATTCAAGAAGCTTCAACTAGCTGCTGCTTCAACTTGTGCACTCTCTCTCACCCGCATGCCTTCATTACGACTGACCTGCCCTAGGAAGGTCCATTAAGTAGAACTCTTTTCAAGCACAGATGGTCCTGAATAGCTTAATGTCTGCCTGGTGGCCAGAATAAGTGAATTCTTGATGGCCTTAGACTTCTGATCATATTCATGCAGCCAAGGAAGGAAAATGAAAACTTGTTTATCATTTTGATAAACAACCTCTCTCATTGCCGCAGGAAGAGCCATGTAACTCAGTGGAGTCAAATGCTATTAAATTGCCATCACTGTCAAAAAAAAAAAAAAAGGAAAAAAGGGAGGAATTTCTATGTTTTTTCTACCTGAGTCATAGTTAATGACTTCCGCAGTGTATCACCCAAATCAGGACTTTTAAAAAAAAAATTTAAAAAAGGAGGAAAGTTTGCTTACCATTCAGGCTTGGCTCCGCTACTAGATTGGGCATGTTATAATTCTGAAATACAAAATATGCTTCTGTTACTACCTCTGAACCAAAGCGGGAGATGTAAAAAATATATGATGAGGAAATGACTCTTGGCTTCAGCTAGGCATGTGCTCTAAACCTTCTGTTGATGAGATATTTTATATCACAGCTGCACACAGAAGGTTCTCATTTAGGGGTAAAATATTTCACTGTGTGGTGGGGCTTTGTAACAGAGGCATAATTGCCATTTTCAGGTGTTCAGTCTTCGCCTCCAATTAAAACAAAATCATTCTCAGGAAATAGTCCTTCCTTTAGTGATGGACTTGTGGGTGTATAACCCTCATTCTTCTGTTTCAATATTTGAACAAACACATTATGAAGAAGGAAAAATATATGTGTTGAAATTACTCCAGAAGATAGAAGCTCAAGTGGCTGAATTAGGAAGGGGGAAATGTTTTTGTTGGATGAAATTGTTGGATAAGCCTGCATGAATTGACAGAAAGGAGGCAGAAGCAGAATATGATTGCATCTAGACCAGGCATGCACAGACCCTCCAAGTATCCCTATTTTCCAGGGACGTCCTTGATTTAGAGAAGCCATCCTGGTTTCTGATTTGATCCCAGAATATCCCACTTTTCCTAAGGATGTCCTTATTTTCATTGGAATGTTGGAGGGTATGGAGCTATCCGACTCCCGAGCCATCTGAAGGCAATCCTGTATAGGGAAGTTTTTAAACGTTTTTTTAAAGCTTTTTAAAATAAAACATAAACGTTTTTAACGTTTATGTTTTATTTGTTATATATATATATATATATATATATATATATATATATATATGTATATGTTGGAAGCTGCCCAGAGTGGTTGGGGCAACCCCATAAGATGTGTGGGGTATAAATAGTAAAATTTTAATTATGGAATGGGACGTCCCTATTTTCATCGGCGAAATGTTGGAGGGTATGTATGCAGAATGAGGTTTTTTTAAACTCAAGGCTCACATTCACCCCAGCCAGCTCTCTGAGGGCTACTTTCCAACTGTGGGCATCACCAAATATGGGTGTGACAGCCCCACACTTTCAAGCACACATGTCTGTGCACACTCTCCTGCCCCACTATGTAGATCAGCCGAGAGTAGTGAATTATCATCCTTTCTCTGCTCGTAAAATGATCAGTCCAAGGACTGGGGAGGAGGTGGCTTACATCCTTATCTGAAGGTTTGGTTCCGTCCACACCCATGCTGTGTCTACTTTAAATTATTTCGACCTTTTCCACCTTGTTGGCATCTATCTGTCTCAGGAGACAATGGAGGAATGTGCTGGTGGTGGGCCCTAAGTCAAACTCTCTCTCTCTCTCTCTCTCTCTCTCTCACACACACACACACACACACACACAGGGGGTCTTTTGTAGGCCAGAAAAATTCCATGGGGAGGGGAATGGATGAGTACCTCCCCAAAACAGAGGAACAGTCACCCCTGATGTAAATATATAGGAGGCGAGATGACTGGGAGAGGGGGCGGTATTGGTGAATTTTCACACAGACAACATTGCTAGATTGAAATTGACCACCGGGATCATCCAAGACAAACACACTTGCACATTTCTGCACATAGCCACCAAGATTTCCTTTCTCTCTCAACAAATTACACCTGCTTGAATGCAATTAGGTACACATACCGACATATGCCAGCAAATGTAGCTGATGTCAAAGAACAGGAAATATAGGCACCACCGTCATCCCTTTCTCATAAGCTTTGTAAGGGCATATCACTGGAAACAGAAGGCAGAATCCAGTTGGCATCCTTGCACCCAGGGTAGGGCTTTTGATCTAGCAGATGCCTCTGCAAATGGAAAAGAGCAGAATGTTATGTTTTTGCTAATGCCCTTCCCCTTCCAGAACAGGTGTGTGTGTGTGTGTAAATGGAGGGGGCAGGTGCGTGAATACGAGTAAAAGATCTGGCAAAAAACCCCTCCCTTCCTCTCCCATTGATAGAGATGCCCACTGGGCCAAAAGCTCTTCCATGAGTACTGGGGCACTGTCAGGAGCTCAGCCTACACTCGAGTAGGATCCTGGCAGAGACACATGCCCGACTGGCATATTCTCTCCCTCCTGGTCATTTGT